ATGGAAGACTGGGTTCTTCGCCAAAGCTATTGCTGACTTATTATCCACTAAGATCTTCGTTGGCTCCTTTTGTGTCTTCGCCAAAGCTATTGCTGACTTATTATCCACTAAGATCTTCGTTGGCTCCTTTTGTGGCAAACTCATCTCCTTTAACAGGTTCCGTAAGCAAACAGCATGGCAAACACATGAAGTAACCGCTACATACTCCGCTTCACAAGTAGAAAGGGTGACAATTGGTTGCTTCTTTGACATCCATGTGAAAGCTGTATCTCCGATGAAGAACACGAATCCGCTTGTGCTTTTTCGGTCATCTACGTCTCCACCCCAGTCGCTATCGCTAAATCCAACAAGCTTGTAATCGTCAGAAACAGAGTAATACAAGCCAAAGTTTATGGTACCTTTGATATAGCAAAGTATCCTTTTAGCTTCCTTGAAATGAGTTGTTGTTGGATGCTCCATGTATCGGCTCACAACTCCGACTGCATATAGGATGTCAGGTCTTGTGCACGTTAAGTAGCGTAGGCTTCCAACCAAGCTCTTAAATAGTGTTGGATCTACACTCTCTCCTTCTTCTTGCTTTGACAATTTGGCTCCACATTCCATTGGCGTGCTTACTGGATTCGAGTCATCCATCTTGAACTTCTTAAGAACCTCTTTAGCATAGCCTTCTTGAGTAATGAAAATTCCATTATCTTCTTGTCTCACTTCAATTCCAAGGTAGTAAGACATCAATCCAATATCGGTCATCTCGAACTCCTTCGTCATCTCCATCTTGAATTCCTCGAACATACTTGGATTGTTGCCTGTGAATATCAAGTCATCTACATACAAGCATGCAATCAATATATCATTGTTTTGAGTTTTGATATAGAGTGCATGCTCATATGGACACTTGATGAAACTTTTCTCCTTGAAGTACTTATCAATTCGAGTATTCCAAGCTCTTGGTGCTTGTTTTAACCCATAAAGCGCCTTCTTTAACCTCAAGACTTTGTCTTCTTCTCCCTTGATTATGTAGCCTTGTGGTTGCTCAATGTAAACTTCTTCTTCAAGATCTCCATTTAAGAAGGCTGATTTGACATCCATTTGATGTATCCTCTAATTGTTTTGAGCTGCCAATGAAACGATTAATCTAACAGTTTCTAGACGAGCAACAGGAGCGAACACCTCGTCATAGTCGATTCCCGCTCTTTGACTATAACCTTTTGCCACCAATCTTGCCTTGTATCTTTCAACTTCTCCTTTAGAGTTCTTCTTTGCTTTGTACACCCACTTCACACCGATCACCTTATGCCCATTTGGAAGTGAAGCTAACTCCCATGTCTCATTCTTTTGTATCGCCTTGATCTTTTCATCCATTGCATTTCTCCATGTCTTCTTCTTCATAGCTTCTTCGAAATTCATGGGCTCGCAATCCACAAATAGACAAAATAAAGTAAGATTGTCTTGATTTTTAGTTACCTCGTAAAGTTCTTGCAGACTTCTGAAACGTTAAGTCCTTTCGCTCGAACTTTCATCTTCTTGAGAACTTGTTGTTGGTGAAGTTGATGGGGTAACAGGCTCCTCTCTTGGTTGCTCCAATTCATCTTATTCAACATGTGGAAAGAAGTTGTAGTCTTCATCATTTGATCTCCAATCCCATTCTCCTTCTTCATCAAAGATGACATTTCGACTGATGATTGTCTTCTTTGTATCAGGATTGTAGAGCTTGTAGCCTTTGGAGTTGGCATCGTAACCAATGAAGATGTACTTCTCACTTTTGTCATCTAGTTTGCTCCGCTTCTCGTCCGGTACATGAGCGTGAGCAAGGCTTCCAAAGACTCTTAGATGAGAAACACCGGGCTTCCTTCCGCTCCAAGCTTCTTGTGGTATTTTTCCCGAAACACTTCTTGTTGGAGATCGATTTGATAGATAAACCGCGCATGCAACTGCTTCTGCCCACAACTCTTTTGGTAGTTTCTTACTTTTGAGCATGCTCCTCGCCATTTCAAGGATTGTCCGGTTCTTCCTTTCCGCAACTTCATTTTGTTGAGGGGACCTCGGCACCGTCAATTGTCTTCGAATACCGTTATCTTCACAATATTTCTCAAATTCCTTGGATGTGAATTCTCCTCCACGGTCGAATCTCATGGCTTTGATCACAAGGCCACTTTCCTTCTCGACATGGGCTTTGAACTTTTGAATTTTTCAAACACTTCTGATTTTTCCTTCAAAAAGTAAACCCATGTTTTTCTTGAAAAATCATCAATAAAGAGAATAAAGTAGTTACTTTTACCGAGTGATCTTGGTTTGATCGGGCCACATACATCTGTATGTATGAGTTCCAATGGCTTCCGCGCTCTTCTGTCTGACTCCTTTGGAAAGCTCATTTTGAATTGCTTTCCAAGTAGACACCCTTCACACACTTGATTTGGATGGTTGATGCAAGGCAATCCTCTCACCATCTCCTTTTTAGAAAGTAGCTCTAAACCTCCAAAGTTGAGATGCCCGAATTGAAGATGCCAAAGCCAGGACTCCTCCTTGTAGCACATCTTGAGACATTGTGCGATGTCATTTTGAATGTTAAGAACAAACATTCTATTCTTTAACATCGGCACCTGGGTAATGAGATTGTTTTCTTGGTCTCTTATAGAAAAGTTATTATCCTTTAATCGAATATCATAACCTTTCTCTAAGAGTTGTCCAAGGCTCAATATATTGGTCTTCATGCTTGGGATATAGTAAACGTTAGAAATAAATTGATGATCTCCATTCTTCAATCGGATGAGAATATTTCCTTTACCTTTCACCTCCATCTTCGATTCATCTCCCAAAGCCACATTTCCTTTCACCGATTCATCAAGCTCCACGAACATGCTTCTTTTCCCGCACATGTGATTGCTTGCACCGCTATCGAGGTACCACTTGTGAACCTCATCTTGTTCATCTTTCTTGTAAGCCATCAATAGCATATCATCTTCTTGGCTTCTTTCTTCAACATAATTGGACTTCTCTTCAACTCTATTATTGTTCGGAGCTTTGCATTCGGAAGCATAGTGTCCAAACTTTCCACAATTATAGCATTTAACGCTTGACTTATCGTACCTTGGTTTTTGATTTCCTCTCCCACGACCTCTTGATGAGCTTTCTCCTCTTTGGTTGGTGTTGTCATCATGAGGCCTCCAACCTCGTCCATTTCTATATCCACGACCTCGTCCTCGGACTTGACCGCCACCTCGTCTTTGATAACTTCGTCCGCTTTCTTCTTTAGTTTGATCAATCCGCATCTTGAGTACTTGTTATGCAATATCTTCTTCTTCTTCTTCTTTTCTTCATAAGCTTGTAACGACCCAAGAAGTTGCTCCATCGTCATAGCCTCCAAATCCTTTGTTTCTTCAATGATAGTGACAATATGCTCGAATTTTGGATCCAACGATCTAAGAACCTTCTCCATGATTCTCACCTCATCTAACTTCTCGCCATTTCTCTTTAGGTTATTAGTAACCGTTAAAACTCTTGAGAAGTAATCGGAGACGAGTTCACCTTCCTTCATTTGCAACGCTTCAAATTCTCCTCTTAGAGTTTGAAGACGTACCTTCTTGACTTGATCTGCTCCCTTGTAAGAAGTTCGAAGCTTCTCCCATGCTTCTTTGGCCGTCTTTGCTCCCGCGACCTTCTCGAATGTATCTTCATCTAGACCTTGATAGATTAGACAGAGAGCCTTCTTGTCTCTCTTCCTTGAGTCTCTCAAACTATCCTTTTGAGTTTGAGATAGACTACCATCATTCTCCGGTTCAATGAAGCCTTTCTCGACTATCTCCCACACGTCATGTGCTCCTAGGATAGCCGTCATTCTTAGACTCCAATTGTCGTAGTTGCTCTTTGTGAGCATCGGGACTTGAAAGGGAACACCGTTACTCGCCATCTTCAAGGGAATCAACCTGGCTCTGATACCACTTTGTTGGGAAGAAATATTTGGAGGTGATGGAGAAAGTGTTTAAGAATTCGGGAGACAATAGAAAATTTAGGAAGAAGAAGATTTTTATTTCTTTTGAACACCTTAGAACAACTTGGAACTTCTTGATTACAAATGAGAGGGAAGGGGAGGTATTTATAGCCTCCAAAGTACAAAATATCTAGAATATTTTAATCCTAAATCTAGAGAGTTCTAGCATAATATCTAGAATTTTATATTACAATTATCTAGAGAAATACGTTTATATGAACGTTATTTGTTGGAAAAGGAGAAAACTATATGCATGTTTTCAGAGACAATGTCACATGAAGAGAAGACTTATGCATGTTTTCAAAGACAATGTCACATGAAGGTGGCCCCTAATAGTTCTTTCATCATCTATAATTAAGAATCCAGTACACAAGGTTGGTCGTTTGAGAAATCACGCATCCACAGCTTGACCTGTATTTACCCAGTTTCTCTGCCGAAGCTCATCAAGACTCCAGAGAGACAATGTTACACTAGGATGGCCCTTCAATTAAAGTACATGCATCCTTAGAATTATCAAACATTCAACCTCATTTACTACAAAAAATTCCACTTGCCCCAGTTCCCATTTCCATAAAAAAGATAAAAGATTTCACTAAAAAAAAATTTGCTGGACAGCAGTATTGCAAAGAACAAGAGAGAAATTCTTGCTCGCGATCATTCACTTAGTTTTGGCGATAGTACAGAAGGTCTATCCGCAATTAACCCAGTGTACAAACAGTTGACTGGACCCGGCATGTTGCAGTATTGCAAAGAACAAGAGAAGGAAATTCGTTGCTAGAAACCATTAAGTAATACAAACAAATATCTCCCTCAAATGCTTTCATTTCAGTACTAGCCATATGGTTATGTTTCCTCTCTTAAACATCATACATAACTCTCCAGCCTGTCAGTGGACCACTCTCTATCCCTATAAATAGCGTCTATACCGCTACTCTTCTCGTCATATCCTCAACCTTAGAAACTAGAAATAAAAGCATTTCCCTCTCAGAATTGTTTGTAGATCTAGAGATCAGCAATGGTGAATGGTAAAAAGCTTACTGAGAAATTGTCCGCCTTGGCCAAGAGAGTCTCCTCAGCACTAAATGATACTCAACTTGAATCCAACAAAGGACACTTCATTGTGTATACATCAGACGCAAAGAGGTTCATGATTCCTTTATCGTACCTCGAAAGCTCTATCTTCGTAGAACTATTCAAGATGTCTGAAGATGAGTTTGGATTGCCAAGTGATGGGCCTATCACATTGCCTTGTGATGCAGTGTTCATGGAGTTTGCTCTATCTTTGCTCAGAAGACGAGGGTCTAAAGCTATGGATAGAGTGTTGTTAGATTCTGTATTTAAGCATTGCCAGTCTCCGTGCTCTTCAAGCACTGTAGGATTTAGTCAACAAATTGTATGTAGTTTCTGAATATTTTTTTCTATTCAGATTGTACAGTCAAGTACAAATTGATTTAATTAGACAAAAATCTCTAAATTTTGAAGAATTATCAAACTGTTTTGGATGTTATGCAATGAGCTAGCACTTTTCACCATAAAGTTGTAAATTTTGCCCCTTACATTGTATTTATATTCTCCACAACCACCACATGAGCAGATTCTGAAGTCTTCAATGTTACATGTGAGGTATATGATATCTTATCAGTCTCAATGTTCATAGAAAATTGATGCAATTCGTTTATGAAAGAACTTACTGTGTCGACTTCTTCTATAAGGAAAATGATAGGGAGGACTCGAGCATCCCTTAGTTGTGAGAAACATAAGATTTAACATTGATGAGGCAAAAAAAAAAAAAAAAAAAAAACTTTGAAATTCAGAAGGAAAAAAAAAAAAAAAAAAAAAGGAAAAAAGAAAAGAAAAGAAGAAAAAAAGACTAAATTGGGTTTCATTTCTGATGGACTTTCTATTTATTTGTCAATTACAGGTAGGTTCCTGGTTTGAAAAGTTTAGACTTCAGAGGAGTAAAAAGGTTCAGGAGAGTTATGTGTAAAACCCGCCCAAAGTTCATGGGGATTATTTGAAATTAACCCAATAAAAATAATGAGAATGCAACTTCTTCACTTTGTCAAACATAGTAATGTAGCACCTGAGCCTGGTGGTTTAGTTTACTCGAAGAAGAATGGGTGCATTAAAGCCCTAAGAAGAAATCAATTTGCAAAATAACACCGACAGGGAGGGCTGGATTAAAGAACTGAAACTTCATTTTTCCTACGTGCCATTACCAATTCCCAACTTCTTCTTCAATCGGCGCCCAAAGTCGTCAACAACACCAAATATCCGCCTAATATTCAAAGGTCTGAAGAAAACTTTGGTATGTACAATGGTTCTGTCTTACATTCCCTTATCTGTCTCTTTATATGCCTATTACCAACACTGCTATTTGGCTCGCGCTTTAACGCGCGAGCCAACTCGCTCGCGCGTTAAAGCGCGAGCCAAAAAGCGTTTTCCGCCTATTACCTGTGTGACTAAATCTCTGTTAGATATAAGAATTTCTTTTGTATTTGTTTTGCTGCATTATGTGGTGTAATTTTGCTCTTCTAGTTACTAAACACCCATTATTGTCAGTCATGAACACCATTTAGAATCACAATCTCGTCTTCAGACAATGATTTCTCAAAAGAGGTTGTATTTTCACTATAGTTATATGGTTTATATTTATATGGACGTTAATCCGTTAGATATGGAGAACGTTTATGCATGTTTTGAAAGACAAAGGACACATGAATGTCGACCCTCATAGTTCCTTCATCATCTAGAATTAACACGTTAGTACATAAGGTTGGTCCTCTTGAGGAATCATGCATCAACAGAAAAATCCGTATTTACTCAGTTGCTAAGCCGAAGACTCCATCACTAGAGCCAATGTTACACTCAGGCACATCAAAATACATGCATCCATAGAATTATGACTTTCAACCTTGCCTATAATCAATACACATCAATGCTTTTCAATCCTATTTCTATAAAAAGAAAGAAATTTCCAAATAATGAGTGAACAAATAGTTGGCCGGATCCTGCAGTTTCCAAATAATGAGTGAACAAATAGTTGGCCGAATCCAGCAGTATTGCAAGGCAGAAGAGAAGCAAATCATTTCACTACTAGCCATATGTATCTGTTTCGTCTCTTAAACATCATACATAACTTTCCAGCTTGTCCACGGACCACTCTCTATCCCTATAAGTAGACGCTATTCAACAACTATTCTCATCATATCCCCATCCTCAGAAACTATACAAAAACGACTTTTCTCTTAGAATAGTTTGTAGATCTGTAGATCAGCAACGGTGAACCCTAAGAAGTAAGAAGTAAGAAGCTTACAAAGAAGGTCTCTCCCTTGGCCAAAAGTAGTCTCGTCAGCTCTAAATGATGCTCAATTTGAATCCAACAAAGACCACTTCATTGTATATACATCAAATGCAAAGAGGTTTATTATTCCTCTATCATACCTCGAAAGCTCTATCTTTGTAGAACTTTTTGTCAAGGAAAAAGACCTAGTAAAAATTACTGATTAGAGAACCAATACATTTGTAGGGTTACAATACGGATGCGGATAATGAAACGACACCCAATAACCCACTACTTGATCCAGTACTTAATTAACCAATTTAACAATTTAACACTCCCCTCAAGCTGGAGCATAGATATCAACCATGCCGAGCTTGTTACATAGAGTAGAAAAACACTTTAGATGAAGCCGTCTTCGTGAGAATGTTCGGCAACTGTTTTGAGGAATGAGTGAATGGAGTGTGAATCAAGTTTCTCATCACTGCATCCGTAACAAAATGGCAATCAACTTGAATGTGTTTTTTCGTTTCATGAAAAACAAGATACTTGGCAATGTAAATAGCAGATTGATTATCACAATGCATAGGCATAGGTCCGGGCTGGACAAAATCAAGTTTTAACATTAGATTCCTCAATCACATCATCTCACAAGTTGTATGCACCATCACCCTATACTAAGCCTCTGCACTAGATCGAGAAACCACATCCTGGTTCTTGCTTCTCCAAGTCACTAGATTGCCTTTAACAAATGTGCAATACCTAGTAGTAGACTTCCTATCTCCCTTATCTCCTACATAGCCCGAGTTAGAATAGACGGAGATATGTACATTTCCACACTTATACAATAAGCCTTTACCAGGAGAGCTTTTTCACATGGGAAAGAACCCTCAAAGCAACTCCCTAATTAAACTATTTAGGTTTCTGCATGAATCAATTGAGAACCCTAATATCATAGGGTATGTCGGGTCTAGTGACTGTAAACTATATTAGCTTTCCAATTAACCTCCTATATTGTTTAGTGTCATCAAAAAGTTTACTGTCCTCAGACCAAAAATCCTCATTTGCTTTCATTAGGGTACTTGGAGGCTTGCACCCCAAAAGACCAGTCTCCTCTAGAAAATCTAAGGCATACTTTCTTTAGGAAAGAAGCAAACCATGTATTTGGTAGGCTATTTCAATCCCTAGGAAGTGTCTCAGCCTACCCATATCCTTAGTCACAAAATGTTTTCTCAGATACTCCTTTGTCTTTGCGAAACCAGCTGTATCATTCTCAGTAAGTAATATGTCATCAACACATACAACCAAAACAACTAGTCTAGATGCAGTGCAGCGAATAAATACAAAATGATCTGAGTGACATCTTTGAAATCTAACTCTAAGTGACATTTTTGAAACCCAACACCATAAGCAACTTTCCTGAACTTATCAAACCATGCTCTCAGACTCTATTTGAGGCCATAAATTACCTTCTTAAGTCTGCATACAATATTCTCCCACTGGGCAACATACCCTAGAGGTTAATCAATATAAACCTCTTCTTGCAGATCACCATATAAAAATGCATTCTTCACATCAAGTTAGGACATGGACCATTCAAGATCAACACCAATAGAGAATAATATCCTAATAGAATTTAGATGAGCAACTGGGGAGAAGGTCTCAAAGTAGTCAACTTTATACGTCTGAGTGTAGCATTTAGCAACCAATTGGGCTTTATATCTATCCACAGAGCCATCTAGCCGATATTTCAAAGTATACACCTATCGGCAATCAACAACATTTGCCCTCGTCGGAGTGGGGACCAAATCCCAAGTTCCCCTAGAGACAAGTGCATCTATCTCATTCATAGCTTGCTTCCAGGCATGAGCTAAATTACCTCTTCATATGACCTAAGTATAGATTTAGTAGATAAAGACAATGCAAATTGGCGAAAGGATGGGGGTAAGACGATCATAAGAGATAAAATTAGAGATGGGATGAGCTGTAGTAGATTGTTTACCTTTTCTAAGGGCAATAGGAAGATCAAGATCAGAGAGAGTAGAAGATTGTTAATGGGTAGGAACTGCATCTGTAGACTGTAGCTCGACCGAGCATGATGGGGGCATGTGCTTTTTGTTTTTGAGTATACACCTGTAATGGTTTTTGTGCAACTCTATCTTCTACTCTAGAATTGAGCACTGGTTGAGGTAGAGGAACAAAAGCTAGTGGAGGTCTTGTACTGATTGATGAGAAAAAAGGTACAAACTCAATGAAGGTGACATCCACGGATGTAATATACTTCCTGGACACTAGATTGTAATATCTATATTCCTTTTGAGTTCTGGAATACCCCACGAAGACACACTTAATGGATCTAGGAGATAGCTTATCGAGACCTGGACTCAAATCCTAAATAAAGCAAGTGCAACAAAATACTCTAGGGGTAATTGAAAAGACACTCTTGTTAGGATAAAGATAAGAGAAAGGGATTTTTCCATCAAGGATAGACGAGGGCATCTTGTTAATCAAATAACATACATACAAAACAGTATTAGACTATAAATATTTTGGACAATGTATATGAATAATCAATGATCTAACAACATCTAATATGTGTTTGTGCTTTCGTTCAGCGATACCATTTTGCTGAAAAGTATGAGAACATAAAGTCTGGTGAAGAATGTCGTTAGTGGTACACAATCTAGACTCATCAATTTTCATATACTCTAATGCATTCTCAGTACAAAGTACACGAGTATTAGTAGAAAATTAAAATTTTAATTTATTAGAAAATAGTTGAATTACATTAGCAGCTTCTGATCTCTCTTTCATCAAGTACAACCATGTCATTTTCACTGAAGGAACACGACAAGGGTCACAGATATCAGAGTGGACTAACTCAAAAGGAGTACTACTGTATTTATTCACTCGACTTTGACAAGAAGCATGACGATGCTTTCCTAATTCACATGACTCACATTCTAAAGAAGAAAAAGATGATTCAATAGGAACAACCATTGAAAGCTTGTAAAGTGAATGATGTCCCAAAAGCAAGTGTCACTGTAGAGGGGTATCAAATACACTAGCAGAAAGAGTAAAAGGGGGCACACTCTCATCCAGATAGTAAATGCCTCCTCTCTGACCCGAACCAATCTTCATCCTAGTTAGCAGGTCCTGAAAGATGCAATGTGAAGAAAAAAATGTTGTTTTATAGTTATTTTTTTTTTGTGAATTGGCTAATAGATAAGTGACTAACAGGAAATTTAGGAACATATAACACATTAGTTAGAATTAAGGATGGAGTAGCCTGAACCATCCTATCATCAAGTACAGGTGTAGAAGAACCATCAACAATATAGACAGAAGGAAATTTGCTTGGAAAAGATAAGGAATGAAAATTTTCTTTTATATCTGTCATGTGGGATGGAGCTCTTGAATCTAATATCCAGGGTCTGTCTGAAGAGGCAATATAAGCATTTATACCTGAAGAGGATGCATGAGTCGCTGAATGATTGCTCTGAGTAGTTTAGGACTGGAGCTGCATCAATCACTCACAGTCTACATGTGATATCTGAACAATAGAGATTTCTAAAGAGGTTGCTGAAGAAGGAGAATCTATACTAGTAGGAGTGATAGAATCAACAGTAGTCAACTATGCCCACTCATGCTTGTCGAACTTCTGCCGGTACTTCTCCGCTATGTGGTAATGCTTCTTACAATGAGTACCGCTACACTGTCCTTTATCAAATTCACTTTGCCTACCACTATAAAAACCACAACCTCCCCCTAAATCATCGTCAGGGCCACGACCACGTCCTCTGCCACATCCAACAACCATGACAAACTGATCAACGGATGGTGTAGAGGGTGCACCCAGCTCCAATTGATACATGCATGACGTTAAAAAAGGTAGATGTCAACGAGGGAACACTTATCTCCTGCCAAAATCTGTCTTCTCACTTGAGATGCTAATGAAGGATCCAAGCTAGATAGAAACCTTGACACTGCTAGATCCTCATGATATCCCCTCAGTGTTGCTGGATCAGTAACAACATGTTAATGCATCTCTAACTCATTCATCAACCCCTTCAACTCTCAATAGAACTTTGGTACAGATTTACTCCCTTGCTGCAGAGCAAACAATCGCTTGTATATCTCATGAATTCTAGACACATTCTTCTCATTCCCATGCATCATTTTGAGAGTGTCTCACATTTCTTTGGCAGTAGATAAGAACATAATACTACTACTAACCTTTTTCTTCATACTGCTGAGGAGCTAAGTAATAACACAATAATCTTCGGAAAGCTAGGTCTTGTACTTAGATTTTGTAGAACATGTGGATTCTCCAGAAAATACTTCAATTTATTCTAAACACCAATAAAAATTCTGAATGCTTGTGCCCATAACAAATAATTAGATCCATTTAGTTTCACAGTGGGTCCTAAAATAGCTTTGGGAGTAGATGTCTCCATAATAATAAGAGGAATAGAAGGGGTTGAAGAACTCATGATATCCAACATCTCAATGAGACAAGTATCAGATATCAACAACCACAACTCAGATCTAATGAAATTAGCCACAAAATTCAATCGGAAATAAGCCAAAATATAAGAAATCAACTAGCAAAAGCATCAAATCAGCCAAAAAACAGAAAACAACAGATAGTAGTTATCATCAGTCAGATGAGATCTGAATTTTTTCAACCATATTAAGAAATCTGATCTGATCACATTAAGTTAGTGGCAGTATTAGCAGGCAACATCAATAGAGAGCAACAATGACGGTAGATCAAGGTGGTAGCAACGTTGATAAAGGAAGATGAGGAAGATGAAAATGATGAAGATGATGAGGAAGAGGATTGGAGATGACGCCCGGAGAGGATGATGGAAGAGAGATGGCGATTGATGAACAGTTTCACTTTTTATTTTTGAGGTTAGGGTTAGGGTTTTTAACAAAAACATGTCTAGACCATGTCAAAGAAAATGACCCAAGTAAAAATTATTGATTAGAGAACCAATACAACTATAGGGTTACAATATGAATATGGATAATGGAATGACACCTAATAACCCAATACTTAATTAACCAATTTAACACTCTTCAAGATGTCTGAAGATGAGTTTGGATTGCCAAGTGACGGGCTTATCACATTGCCTTGTGATGGGGTGATCATGGAGTTTGTTATATATTTGCTCAAAAGACAAGGGTCAAAAGCTATGGATAGAGTGCTGTTAGATTCTGTATTGAAGCATCACCAGTCTCCCTGTTCTTCCCACCTTGTAGGATTTAGTCAACAAGTTGTTTGTGGGTGCTGAGTATTTCTTGATTCAGATTGTACAGTCAATTACAAATTGACTTAGTTTGAATAACTTAATGCCACAAATTGAAAATTTACCCTTTACATCATGTTTATATTCTCTTTACCCATAACATCAGCAGAATAAATGGTGCACGTGAGGTATATGAATCTTATTAGTCTCAAGCTATCTAATATTTATTAATCCTTTATAGAACAATGGATGTAAATTTCAATTGGTTAACCTTTAAGGTTGAACTTACTATCTCTGCATCTTCTATGAGGAAAACGTTGAACACTCTCAAGTTGTGAGAAACATAAACCTTAACATGGATGGGGAAAAACTCTTATGTAAAGTCTATATATTGAAGGTCCCTGTTAAATTTTGGATAATTAAGTTCATAATATTTTCCCCATTTGCGTAGTAATACTAGTTACAATACCTGGAAAAAAAATCTTCCATCAGGTGTGCTCACTCTAAGACTTAGTTGCATACATTACCTGAAAAAAATCTTCCATAAGGTGTGTTCACTCTAAGACTGTGTCTAGTCACAAAGTAGTCACTAAATGATCACTCTCACCATATGGTACGCCATGATGCCTTTTTTGGGATCACATTGTTGGACTTCCTCTAGGATTCATCTCAGGAAAAGATCAACCTGTTTGAGAGAACCATGCCTCCTCATGGAATAGTTTTGGAATCATTATTGCTGACCAAAATTTTAAGTTTGTGTGTTTTTTGTTTGAAATAGTATGTTTATCTTTCATTTAAATAGTACGTAAAACTTGTTTTTAACTTTGCATCCATCATTCATTTTTCACAATTGAGTTTGATATATTGCATAACAGGGGCCATGTGATTGCCCCAAAATAGGAAGAGGTGTGCTATTTGACCTGGCTAAAATGAGAGGGAGCTTCTAAAACAAGCACACAACATGTCATTTTCACTGTTATCTTCTGCTCAGTGGTCTTTGCACTATTTTATGTAAGTTTCTAAAATGGAAATTAACTACTTATTAATCAAGAATTCAAAAATAAACATTGTATTGCATATGCCTGGGAAATAAGGTCTACATTTAATCTTCTAATCCAATAAACGGATTCAGTTACTAAATAAAAGCACCAACCAAGAGAGGCAAATTGCTCTCTAGGATGGTTCTCCAAATTAAAGTCTATGTATGCATAGGATAACCTTATGTTTCCCCTTATAAATAACTTGTTTCGTGTTATTGCTTCCTCCTCATAAATGGACCGTCTTCAGTCTCCTTCCCTCCAGTTTCATTGAAACGTCCCTCGTGTTTGCAGAGTCGACCACCAATTTCTCATGACAAACTCCACATGGATAAATAACTCACAGCCTCTGACTCTTTATGACGTGAAAGTATTCTATATAAGATGTATAAGAAAGTTTAGGAAGAAAAAGGAAAATGTTAACCATTTTCCTTTGAAGCAGTTGGCTAGAACCTGCGTGCTGAGTATTGCCTAGAACAAGAGACTTTTTACAAAATCCAGACATCTTTCTTCGAATCTTATCTTCTGTTTTACTAGGCACATTAGAACTACATAGATTGCCTATAGACAAATAGTATTGAGTGCTTACAACTAAGTACAATGCTTTTAAATCTTTGATAATGTGAAATTGTTCTAAGTACATAGTAAAATTTGCTTACAACTAAGTACAATGCTTTTAAATCTTTGATAATGTGAAATTGTTCTAAGTACATAGTAAAATTATCAAACTATTTGTCATTTGTACAGTCGATCTTTGATAATGTGAAATTGTTCTAAGTACATAGTAAAATTATCAAACTATTTGTCATTTGTACAGTCAAGGAGACACTTCCAAACGAATGCATTTAGTAGTTTAGATCAATAGATTGCATAATTGGTGTCATCAGACTGGTAATAAATTTCAAGAGTGTGCTTCATGACCTGAGAAACTATGAGTAAACCTCGCTAAGCAAGCACAACAAATCTATGTAAAAACTAATGATTTACATAATTCTCATAGTTCAATTGGTTTGTAAAAACCCGTCGTGGGTGATCAGGGTGGTTGGAAGGTTCTAATATGGCTCACACGGTCTTGGGTTTGATTCCGAGCTGGCTATAAAAAAAAATGGTTTGAAAAACATGGTATAGATGAAAGAGTTTCTTGTAATTTACCCAAAAAATATTGCAAACAATAAACCTCTGGTTATTATTGCAAAATTGTTATATGTTTGATCAAGGCAGTGATATTAGGAGGAAAAGAAAAAAACAAAACAAATCATAACTAAGTAGCAATTCAAGGAATTAATTTAAAACAAATTATGAGAACTGGGGCAAGCAATAACAACTGTGATTCAGGTACTAATTTTAAAATAGCTTAAGAATTTGAGAACCTAAGAGCAATTTCAATGATGTGAGGGACTAATTTCAAAATAATGAAATATTTAAGGAACTAATGTCGAAAAAACCCTTAAAATTTTCTAGTTAGAGTTCCATTTAGTTTATTTTACTTCCAATTTTCTGGTTCAATCCTATTGACTTTTCATATTAATTTCTCGGTTCTTTTAAGCCCTAACAGGATATGACTTTGCAAAAACAACTCCGGGGAGGGCTTGATTCAGGACCTGGAACCTAAGTTCAAATTTCTATACGTGCCATTACCAACTTCCGATATCTCCCTTCCACTTCTTCCACAATGAAATTGAGAGCAGGCCCAAATATTCAAAGATCTGAAGCAAACTTTGGTATGTCAATGGCTTTGTCTACCTACGTTTCTCTTGTCTCTCTCTCTCTATGTTTATTACCTGTTTGATGAAATTCCTATTAGATAATCTTGCTTTTCTAGTCACTAAAAACCCGCTATTGTCTGTTTTCATGAACACAATTTAGGATCACATTCTCGTCTTCGGACAATGATTTCGTAAAAGAAACTGCAGTATCATATTAACTATATATCCATTACGTTTATATGGACGTTAATCTATTAGAGTCGGAGAAAATTTATGCGTGTTTTGAAAGACAATGTCACATGAAGGTGGACCGTCATAAAAATTCCATCTTTATCATCTAGAATTGACAACCCAGTACGCATGGTTGGTCCTTTGTAAGAGGAACCATGCATCAGCAGCAAGATCCATATTTACTCAGTTGCTAAACCAAATACTCCATCAAGAGAGACAGTGTTACACTAGGATGACCCTTCACATTAAAGTACCTGCATCAATGGACTTATCTGACATTCAACCTCCACCTATAGTCGATACACGTTAGTTCTCTCCAAAGAAAAATTCCACTTGCCACGAGATCTGTCTTCAATCTGGCCCATTTCCACAATCAGATAGAAATTTCCAAATAATTAACGTACAAACAGTTGGCTGGACCCAGCATGTTGCAGCTTTGCAAGGAGCAAGAGAAGGAAATGCTTCCGTATATGTCTCCCTCAAATGCTATCATTTCAGTACTAGCCATATGCCAATGTTTCCTCTCTTAAACAGCATACACAACTCTCCAGTTTGTCAATGGGCCACTCTATATCGTTATAAGTGGCAGTCTACACCGCTGTTTTTCTCATCACATCCCCAACCTTAGAAACTAGAAACAAAAGCATTTTCCTCTCAAAATTGTTCGTAGATCTGGATATTAGTGATGATGAACCCTAAGAAGCTCACAAAGAAGGTGTCTGCCTTGGCCAAGAGAGTGTCGTCAGCACTAAATGACACTCAAATTGAATCCAACAAAGACTACTTCATTGTATATACATCAGATGCGAAGAGGTTTACGATTCCCTTATCATACCTTGAGAGTTCTATCTTTGTAGAACTCTTCAAGATGTCTGAAGATGAGTTTGGATTGCCAAGTGACGGGCCTATCACATTGCCTTGTGATGGGGTGTTCATGGAGTTTGTTCTTTCTTTGCTCAGAAGGCGAGGGTCTAAAGCTATGGATAGAGTGTTATTGGATTCTGTATTCAAGCATCGTCAGTCTCCATGTTCTTCCCGCATTGTAGGATTTAGACCACAAGTTGTTTGTGGGTACTAAATATTTTGATTCAGATTGTGCAGTCAATTACAAATTGAATTAGTTAGACATCAATGTTAATGCCACATATTTAAGACATAACATCTAAATTTTGAAGGATTAGCGAAGTTTTTTATGTTCGTAATGCATTGAGCGAGCACTTTTTGGCATAAATTTGTAAATCTTACCCTTTTATATTGTATCTGATTAGAATTGTGAGCTCTTAAATATTGTCTGTAAGGTGTCTGAAAATCTTATCAGTCTCACGGCTATCTGATTTATTTTAAATCTTTATAGAACTATTATAGATGCATTTCTTTATGAACAAACTTAATGTGCTGATAATCTTCTATGAGGAGGTTGGGCACCCCTAAGTTGTGAGAAACATGAGCCTTAACATGGATAGGGGAAAAAGATCTTTTGTAAAATCTAAAGATTTTAGGTCCTATTGCGAGTTTGATATTTAAGTTCATTATCTTTTTCCCCATGTTCAGAGTAATACGATAGTTACTTGCAATACCTCAAAAATCTATTTAAGTTCATTATCTTTTTCCCCATGTTCAGAGTAATACGATAGTTACTTGCAATACCTCAAAAATCTATCCTCAGATATGTTAACTCTAAGACTGTGCAGAGTAATACGATAGTTACTTGCAATACCTCAAAAATCTATCCTCAGATATGTTAACTCTAAGACTGTGTCTAGTCACAAAGAAGTCACTAAACGATCATTCTCACTGTACAGTGCACCGTTAGAAAGAACCATCACTGAATAATATAGAGATCATTATTTTTTATCCAAAAATAATAATAATGTGTGTTGTTTAAATAGTATGTTTTGTTTTAACTTTGCATTCTATCATTTTTCCCCACAATTTAGTTTGATTTGCATAATTGGTGCCATCAGATTGCAAAAAATAGGAAGAATGTGATACTGACAATGGGAAATCAACTACTTAATATTCGATAATTCAAATATAAGAGTTGTATTTCATGCTCAAATTGCTTTCTAGGATGGCCTTCCAATTCGAGGTTCTGCATTTACTCATCTAATCCAATAAATGTGTTTAATTAATAAAAAAAATACCTTCCAAGAGAGGCAAATTGCTTTCTGGGATGGCCCTCCAATTTAAGGTCTATGTATACATAGCATAACCTCATGTTTTCCCTCACATATAGATTACTTCATGTTATTGCTCCCTCCTCATAAATAGATTGCCATCAATCTCCTTCCCTCCGGTTTCATTGAAACATCGCTGATGTTTCGAGAATCGATCCCCCAGTTTCTCATGACAAACGTCACATGGAGCTATAACTTACTTTCTGACACTCGATGACATGAAAATCTTCTATACAAGATGGATAACAAAGTTAGGAAGAAAAAGGATATTGTTAAATGTTTTCCCTTGAAGAAGTTGGCTGGACCTGACATGTAAATTATTGCCAAGAAGACATCTTTCTTCAAATCTCATCTTCTCTTTACTAATCACATTTGAATTTTATAGATTGCCCATAAGTAGACAGTCTCGAATGCTTGTAAATGATTTTAAATCTTTGTTGGCTTGAAAGTACATGATTGTTCTTATATATTTTATGGTGTAGTTTGAAGAATACCTTTGCAACTAGTTATGCTTTTACAACCTTGATGAGAAGGGTAGACTTCAATATTCATGCCCTTGATGGAGGAGGATGGCTTTCATGTATCCATATTTGTCACAGTACGTAGCCCACAAACATTTTTTTCTCCTTAGATTGCTTTCGAAATCGGCAAAGCATGATATGGATCTATAGTTGACTGGCTCATCAAACCTTGAAATGATAAAAATGATAAAGAAATAAGGGTTAATTACGAGTATAACACCCTTGGTATCGCTGTTTTTTAACTTACTATCCCTCTAGTTTTATTTTTGTAGATTGAACCCCTCAATGATTTTTTTGACTCTTTAACCCTTAGAGAAAGAAAGACTGTTCTTTTTTTTGACAAACAGATCCCTTGAGGGTAAAAGAGTAAAAGATTCACTTTTGGGGTCTATCTGCAGAAATAAACTAGAGAGGTTGGATGTTCAGAACAATAATACCACAAATGGTCTATCTGCAACTAACCCATAATAATAATAGAGTTAGAAAATGAAGGGAGTCTGAAGTTTCAAAGCATGAATGTATGCACTTCCATAAGAAGCACTTGTCTCGACCCGACATGTCGTAGAGTTGCAAAGAACCAGAGAAGTAACACCACTATTATCCACACACTTACTCTGGTCTTTTAAAAAGCAATTCCCCGACAAATCCAGATATCTTCCTTTAATGATCTTTCCTCATTTACTTAAAGCACGTCTATGCTTCCTCTCCTAAAGAGCATAGCAAAGTCCTCCTGCTTGACATGGGGTCACTCTCTATTTTTATAGTGTAGAAGTAGTGTAGTTATCACTACTCACTAGATGGTGAGAATCCTTAGTCTTTGTAGAAGTAGTGTAGTTATCACTACTCACTAGATGGTGAGAATCCTTAGTCTTTGTTGAAATAGTTATTCAAAGTTAGGAGTTAATTGTAATTTGCTCTAGTTAGTATTTTATTTAGTTTTAGAGGGAAGATCCTGCTTGATGCTCTCCCATGATTCTTTCCTATTTTGTATGAACAGAATCAAGTAGTTTCCTTTCTTATTTTTATTCCCTAGTTAGTTGTATATATGTAAATCTTTTCCTCTGAATTAAAAGTGAGAAAGAATTTCTCAATTTCTTCATGGTATCTGGGCATATTCTCTGAACCCTAGCAGCACCGCCCACCCTATTCTCTCTACCACCTATTCTTTCGACGGAATCCTTCTCTTGTTTCCCTCTCTTCACCTCTGATCGTATCTAAGATGACAAAATACGGAATGACATCTTCTCAAATGTCCATCACGTCGTCAGATACTACATCATCATCGGGAGGAAATATGGAGACCGCACATCATGGTGTATCTAATTCTTCGCCTGTTCTGATCACTAGTCATAAACTGAATGGCCACAACTTTCGTTAGTGGTTCCAATCAGTTATGATGTTCATCTGTGGAAAGGGCAAAGATGACTATCTCACGGGTGAGGCAACTATGCCTGCTACATCAGATCCTGGCTACAGGAAATGGAAAACAGAAAGTAATATGATCATGTTATGACTCATCAATTCCATGAACAATGACATTGGTGAGAATTTTCTGTTATTTGGGACTGCAAAAGAGATTTGGGACGCAACACGAGAGACTTACTCAAGCTCCGAAAACACCTCAGAGTTATTTCAGATCGAAACACTTCTACACGACTTTTTCCAAGGAGCCCAGTCTGTTACACGGTATTTTAATACCATCAACAGGCACTGGCATCATCTTGATCTCTTTGAAACCTTTCCATGGAAGTGCACTGAAGATACAACACCGTACAAGAAAATTGTAGAGCAGAAGAGAACATTCAAATTTCTTCTAGGACTTCATAAAGACCTAGATCAAGTTTGAAGCCGTCTCTTAGGCACAAAACCTCTACCAAGCCTTCGTGAGGCATTCTCTAAGGTCAGACGCGAAGAAAGTAGAAAGAAAGTGATGATGGGGTCATTGGAATCAACACTGGATGCATCTGCTCTTGCTGCTCGTGGATCTAACAACACAATCCCAAGTGAGACTCGGAAAAAGGGGGAGAGACCTTGGTGCGATCACTGTCATAAACTCGGCCACTATAAGGAGACGTATTGGAAGATC